TTGCATGTGATATTTTACTCTTTTTGTTCATATTTACTTGATTTCTTTCCTTGTTTACTTGCCTGATTCAACACTATATAAACCTCATTCCCGTCTCTCATAAAAGGGGATTTTTTTTATAAATTAACTACTATTACTACCACTATTCTTACTCATTCTACACTATTCTAAGACTTCGATTTTGGCCAGCTTAAAGTCAAGGCCATCGGAATCTGTTCATTAGCCTCCTTCAGTGCAAGTACTGCTCGGAGCCCACTTCGAGGCTCTTGTGAACTCTAAAGCACTGAGATTTGAGGTTTCATTATTCTCCTACAATTGCTACTATTCCTGAGATTTTGAGTTTCTCATTATTTATTCGCTTTGTTTGAAACAGGTTAATACCTTATTCTCCCGCAATTCTACTTCTTTCTGTTTGTGTTTATGTTATGTGCACTAGTGGTACTTTGATTACCCTGAGTTAATTTTAATATTATGCCACTTATTCTGCTTATTTAGTACTATTCCGTAGTTCCACTAGCTTCAATTCTATTCAAGTCTTGATTTTAACTAATGTGTGGCTAGCTAAGTTGATTCATGATGCATACCTGATTCGTAATTAAAACCTGATTGATGCTTGTTGCATTGTGTTTTGATTTCCTGTCTAAAACCCTTAGGAAACTATGTCCTTACTCAAAATTACTCGAGGTAGATCTGTTGGCGTCCGCAGACCTTGAAGTCCCCTTCCTCTTTCCTTATTTACTGTTAATCTCATTCGAGACAGTTGTATTTATTTAAGACTCTGTATGTAGAACCTATAGAAGCTCGTGTACTTGTGACTACAGATCCGGGTTGTACCAGATATTGAATTATTATGCTATTTCATACTTCATTTTAGCTTCATTTATGTCTGATTGGTTAAATTGTTCCAAGTGTTTAAAATTGGTACAAGAATTACTCTGACGTTGGCTTGCCTAATAAGTGAAATGTTAGGCACCATCACGGTCCCGAAGGTGGAAATTCCGAGTCGTGACAATATTTTTATAATTCCCAGGCAGACTTGTTTCTTAGCTCTGATGTTGTGTTCTCACTGACTGCTTAAGACTCCTAAGGTGAATTCCAATATATGTCTAGCCTATCCCCCCTATGTCAACTAGAATAAGTCCTAGCCCTTTTCATGTGAAGTATATTTGCCTTACTAATCTAAAGATTAGATTATTCTCATTTGTCATGGATGCTTACCTGTTGATTTAGAACCTTTGTGTTATTTTCCTGAACATTTCACATGTTAAGTTTTACAAGTTAGTTGTGATCATTAGGCTTTCTTGTCAAAGTTTTTCTTGTGAGACTGTTTCCCCTTTGTTTAATCTGATTATGACTCTTGGACTCCATGTGAAGAATCATACGTCTAGAGTCCTACAGATATTAGTTTGGAATCATGCCTTCCTTGAATTTCTGCTTTTGTTGTCCTATGTTGTTAAAACCTGTTGTTGAGAGCTTGTTTCTATCTACGCCATATGTGCCTGTAAGGAATTTTGTGTAGCCTCATTTGTGTGTATTGGTATGGAAACCTCTACTCCCTATCATCTATAGTATTAAGGGATAAAGTCCCTAAGTCTTAAAGTTTGTTTACCTAGCCTGGTACTTAGCTTGTCACTTGTGTTGTTATGGCTATTTAAGTATTCCATGGGAAAACAAGGCATCAGTCTCATGATTTGGACCTAGTTGTTGGGCTAGTTGGATACTCAGAGCTGAAGCATGTTAATAACCATCTGGAGTGTGGGTTTGTTCATCACCTAAGGCTCTAGGCTTAGTTGAAGGCCCAGAAGCAGCCTCTGGGTATTCTGTATTTACGTTGGGCATGCGGTGCTTCTAGTTGGGCTTGTGATCATTCTTTTGAGCTTGTAATTATTTAATCTAGGATTGTAATAATTTGTAAACAAACAACTGGGGTGTTAATAAAATTGGAAGGAAATGGGTATATTCTAATGCTCGCATAAACGGGTAGAGAGCATGCCTATAGGATCTACCTACTTTGTTTGCTACCTTGTTCGACGTGCTTTATTTATGGACACACATAGAAACCATTCCTATAGAAAATAACACACTTCACTTAACTTGTCTAATACGTGTACACTATGCAGCGCATGCTAGTGTGAGTAAGTGTTGTACATGTTTCCATGCCTATTGTTGTGCACTATTAGACCGCATGTCTATAGGAACCAAACATCCATAACTACTTGTTTAGTTATTAGACAACATGCCTATAAGGTTCAATAATACACGCTTCGATTGCACTCATATGGATACCATGACTATAGGGTTAATTAATCAATCTGCTGCTTATGCTATTTTAATTGTAGCGCCCCACTTAGACGACATGCCTATAGGGATAAGAGTTATAAAATCAAGTCCAATTGTTAGATGTTAAAAGTACTACATATAGGATACTCTCACTCGCCTAGAAGTAACGTTTTATCAACACTTGGTTGTCGAGTTGTTTCACTGCCTTACATTTAGATTTCATGCCTATAAGGCTTATAATACATATGGTATGCGAATTTAGAAATAACAACGATGTTGCAAATGTTGGAAATCGTCATCACCTAGAAATTATGCATATAGGACTTAACAGCTATAATGTCTCTTAATTCTAAAATTGTCCAGTTCTGCCTGCGTGCATTCCTTGCTTATGCGTGGAGGTGAACTTGACTTGTTTATTGTCTTTATGTGAAGTCATATATGTTTTGAATGCGCGATTAGTTTTATCATTTTGAGCAACCTAGGTAAAGTCTAGAACCACCCAAATAGAGGTCCAAAGCCTCTTGAACCGCAGGTATGGGACGGGTAGTGCACGCATAGGGTACAGTTTAGAATTAAATTAGAGCGCCTTTAAGTAACAACTTAACATAGTAATTTGGTAGCATGAGATGATATTCTGTGCCCGCTGAATAATATGAGCAACACCCTACCTTAAGGGAGTTGCGAAGTATTATTTATGTTGCACGGGGTGATCCTTTAGGCTAAAAAATTTAGGATCCTCCCCCCTCCCTCTTTTCCTTATATACTTGTTATTGACGTCCAGTTACCTAGCATATATCAATGTAGTTGTATCCTTACAATTATTAAAGATTTATACTGATTCTCATGTGTTATGATAAGACTCTTCGACTTCTATATTTTCCTTTGTTTATTCGATCACCTAGTTTAATTACATAATCCGCATAGTTTGAAATTCGGCTGGGCCCCACAGTTGTGAACCTCGAAGAGTGCCTAACACCTTCTTTTTGAGGTAATTTGAGCTCTTACCCGATCTTTGGTGACACGAACTGTTCAAATAGAGTTATTTGCAAATAGGTGCCCTAACGCACCTTAAAAATCGTTAGGTGACGACTCTTCTCTTTTAATTCCTCCTTTAAAAGAGTTGTCACACGTCAAAGCCCGCTTTCGCAAGAAAACAGGGCGCGACTGTAATTAAAGTATTTTTTTAATTGCTTAACACCTTTAAATATATTGCAATATCTTTTATATTAATATTTAATCGATATTTTTACTATATTATTACTAAGGTTGATATATTTTTTATATTATTATTTTATATGTTAGTTTATTACATTATTTAATATGTTAGTTTATTATTTTATATGTTTGTTTCTTACTCAGCTATTTTTGGGTATACTTAGTTTGACAAATTTTCTATATTATTGTTTTTTATGTTAATTTCTTAAAATTGTTGACTAAAATTCGAGAGATTTTGTGTTTGAACTATCATTATTTTTTCATATATTTTTGGGGTTAACAAATAATTAAATAATTAATTTTAATAACTACTAAGATAATTTAGTAATTATTCAATAATTAATCATATCAAAAATACAACAAACTTAATAGTAAGTTCTATTGAATTTATTTCTTTCGTAACGATTTGTTTGTTAAGTTTCATATTTGCTCAAATTTTCCGGCAAATGATTATTTTATGATTCCTATGTAATATTTGATAATTATCTGCTGATACATTAAATCCATAATTGAGTTCTCTATCCGAGTTTGTTAAGGAGAGTACCTAATTTTTATTCTACACAACAGAATCTTAAAAAGCACTACAATAACACGACTATAACTGGCCATGAACAAAATCAACCACCATTAGCTAAAATTTATTATCAATTTTAATACGTTAAAGGACACTACATAACAATTAAGGGCACGATATAACATTAAAGGGCACTAAACAACAATAATGTCATATATTAATATACGTACAACAAGAAAATCACACATAACAATAATTATGCATAAAATAACAGTATATCTTTTTTACTCATTTTTTAGCACATAAATAATCTAAGCCGGATAAAAAATAACAAATTTATTAAATCACAAAACGATAACAAAATAATATTGCCAACTAATAAGCATTTTATATACATGAGTTTTACCAAAAAGTAAGTCGGAATACCTCGATTTAAAATTTTTTGAAATCATAAAATTTGATGATTTGGGGGCCGAAACGAGCAATCGACGGAATTCACTACACGACAACGCCTTGAATCTGGTGTTAACTTGCTACAATACGGAGAAAATATATTTTTTGTGGGACGAGTGGACTACAATAGAGTTTTTTGCCTTAAAAATTGGGGGGGGGGGGGATTTTTTAGGGTCTGGTAGTTCGCGTTCTGGTGGGGGAAGGAGATGACACGTTTTTTTATATAGGTATGGCGCATATATAGAAGGCGTTATAATATAGCACCTTCTATGTGTGCGTTATACCTCCCGCCAATTTTTAGTTCTAATATAGTGCAGTTATTCACTGCGTTATATCTTAACGAACAAACGTGTCGTTAAGGTATAGTGCGGTGAATAATTGCGCCATATATAAAATTGTATGCATTTATTTTTATTTTTTTTTTACGTATTTGTGTTGTTTGAATCCAAAAATACAAAAATTATGTTTTGGACTCGGCAGGGAGGAAGTGGCTAGATACAAGAAATTCTCAAGCCAATAGATTCACTTGCANACCTCAATTACTCCAAATCCCACTTCTCCCCACAAATCTCCCCTCTTCTCTTCTCTCAAATAATGGACTCACCATCAACAAGAAGAAGGCCATGTTTCATCGAAGAAGATGATGGCCTAGTCTCATTAGCTGAAACAGAAGCTGGATTTTCGGGAATCAACAATAATCAGATCAATCTCAATAATAAGAATTATAACCAATACCCTTTGATTTCAAGACCACTTTATTATACAGTTTCACCTAGAAGAAGAAACAGCTCAAGGAATATCTCTTCTTTTTCTTCTTCTTCTTCATCTTCTTCTTCTAATTCCATGTCCTCTCCAAGATCTGTTGTTACTTCTGCTGGAAAGTACTATGATGGTAGATTTGATGAACCCCAACAACAATATTTTTTGGATGCTTGTTTCCTTTGTAAGAAACGCCTTGCAGTTAACTGTGACATCTTCATGTACAGGTTTGTTTTTTTTTTTTCAAACTTTTAATACAAAATCTTGTTTATTCTTTATATTGGAAAATGGGCCACCTTAAATTTATGTTTTCTTTTATTTTTGCTTTAAAGATTCGATTTTTACTCTAGAAATGGTAATAATAGATGCTAAATTTTTGTGTTCTCTTTATATATGAATATGGGGTTCCTTTACAAATATGTTTTGTTTTATTCCAGCTTTAAAGGTTCGATTTTTACTCGAGAAATGATAGTAATATATGCTAAATTTTTGTTCTCTTTATATATGAATATGAGGTTCCTTTAAATTCATGTTTTCTTTTATTTCAGCTTTATCCCATTTTTACCCAAAAAAAAAGGTATTGTAATATATGCTAATCCTACTAAAACAACAGCTTTAATCATGCCTCTCAGTCCCTAACAAGTTGAGTCAGCTATATGAATCCTAACTAATCATGCTACTTCTACCTGTTTCCACTAAAAAGGAAGATTGTTTTTTTTGGGTTCCCTTTTTTGGGTGAAAAGGGGCTGCTTTAAATATAAATAATTTCTTCATATTCTAATATGCAAGATCTAACTATTTATTTAAGAAATAGGGCATTGACTGTTTTACCAGATTGATATATATGTGTGTATATGTATGTATGTATTGTATGTATTACTCTTAAGAGCAGAGTATTGGTTGCTGGGATTTGATTGCTATATATAAAAGTTGATGGGGTGTCAGAATTCTGATTGTGCTTGTGATTTGTGTATTGCAGAGGGGACACTCCATTTTGTAGTGAAGAGTGTAGACAACAACAGATAGAGATGGATGAAGCTAAAGAGAAAAAATGGAACATTTCTTCCATTAAAGCCATGAGAAAAAAGGACCAGAGTAAATCCACTTCCCCCAACAAAACTTCAGAAGATTACCCTTTCAGACCTGGAACTGTTGCTGCTGCTTGAGCTAATGAAAATGAATCTATAACAATTATCTATAAATAGCAAAGAAATATTAATATTAAAAAAAAAAAAAAAAGGAGTCCATATGAGGAAGGAGATGGAGAAGAAAGAATATACAGAAGAGTTTTCTTTTTTATTTTATTTTATTAAGTTTTGGTTTATGAAAAGTAAATGTTGAAAGTGGAGAGGAGGCTTTGTTTTGGCTAGTAATGCTCTCTGAAAAAGTGGAAAAGTGTGATGACTCTTTTTTTGGGTTTTTTGGTGCCCCTTTTGGGGTTTCTCTTGGGTTTTTCATTGTGGAATGAGAAGCAATAACAAGGAAAGTTCTCCTTTCACTATTGGTTGTGTCTACTTCTCCATTTTTTCTTCAATCTTTTTTGGTTGATATATTATTTGTGTTTCTGTTTTGAAACTGATGTGTGCATCCTTTTGAACATGGGTAGAAATTTTGCAAAGGCAAAAAAAAGCCTTCCTGCTAAGCTTGCATTATATGATGCTTTTAGCTTTGAAGTTTAACCAAAAGAGAGGATCTATTCAATATGTTGAATGATTTGAACTAGTATCTAAAAAATAAATGGATCTTGTAAATATAGTGGGTAAATTGTTATAATAGATCAAACTTTATGTGCTGTTCATTGTCAAGAGTTCCAAGTATGTGCAAGTCAAATTTATACCATAGATCATTAGTCTTTGGTCTACCATGTGAATGTGAGCTGATTCAAATCCGGATAGAGGAAGTTGTTAATGGGTAGGAGAAATTATTGGAGAAAGTGAGGGAGTTTTGAATTTAGTTCTTATTTTCTTGTTTGATTACGTACCAGATATCTTTACTTTGGTGTAAGAATATATATGATAGAAGTTGCACACATGAAATTGATTGCATGTCTCATTCTACCCAATATCACCAAGCTCCGGATGTTACGACTCAAAATCTAGGCGAACCAATAGTCACAATCTCTACTTAAACCATAAGCATGGATATAACAAGTCTAAACAAGCAATATTATAGATTTATAGATAAATTTGGATCTAACAAAGAAGTACATAACTATACAACATCTCTGTAATTGGTGTCACTGAGTACATAATTTTTTAAAAGTAGCAAAATACAAGATACTATGAAATAAGTACAATAATATTTGAATTAAATAACAAGACGATGTGGTGCTCTCTGAAAAGTGAGAGAGTGATGGCTCTTTTTTTGGCGTTTGCCCAAGTATTTGGGTGCTCCTTTTTGGGTGTTATTTTTTACTGGGAAGTTCTCGTTCACAAATTGAACGCCTCCACTTTTTCTTTCTTTTCCATAGATGTAGAAATGCCTTCTGTTCTGAAACTGAAGTGTGTGTCATTTCTTGAATGAGAAGTGTGAAAAGTAATAACAATTTCGTAAGATGGACCATAGGAGACCAGCAAGTGTAAGAAAACAATATCATTTAATTAAATTGATTTCAACATAAAATTAATAAATTAGAGTTATTAATCCTTTTTACTTTGTGTTTATTGTGAGATGCTTTAACTAGATGAAACCCAAAATAACTTAATCATTTGTTTCATTATGTAGATTATGAGAAGATGCTTGGTCGACCTGAATAGAAATTAGAAGACCTTATTTGGTATGTTAATAATATCTACTTTATATTTTTCTGTTGCTTATTCTTTGTAAAATCACCGTCAACAGAAAAAGTTATAACCAAAGTCACCAAATAAAGGGGGACCGCAAATTGGCAAAAGTAAAAGTTATTGGGCTGAATTCAATTTTTGAGGACTTTTGAGAGTGAAGCGTAATAATAATTGCCTAATGGACCAGTGTAACACTGACCTGAACGATGATGACAGAATTGGGCAGCACTGACTTCTTCTGAAAATGATTTAGTAAAGTGGTAAATATTCTTTACTTTTAATCAAAACTCAAAAATTTTGGATTTGAGTTTTAGGTGTGAATATGTCTTTGTTAGATAGTACTAGTCTTTTACAACTTAATACGAGACTTTTCGGCATGAATTCCAAGTTAATTAACCCCGATGCCAGTATCGAATAACGAATGAGATATTCCAAAAAAGTGCACCAGTGGTGACTAGTGAGTACTTTTGAACACAAATAAAAATAAAAATAGTGGGATATTTGCAAGCCAACATAACTTAATAATTAAGGCATGCTCTTATTGTGTGTCACTTTCCTTTTCAGAAGGTATTTTGTGTGCTTTTGATTTGTCTGTTATGTGCTTATTTCCATGAGCTAGCTGTTCATCATATTTTCTCAGTTTACTCCAGTTGTTGCAGTTTTGCGTTATTATTTTTTATCACGACGTGAATTTGGAGTTTTCTTTGCCAACTTTACTATTTCTACTGCGTTTTTCTAACACTACCGAAGGACTTTATGAATAGAGTCAGTTTCGATATTTAAAAGTTCTCTTTGATATCTCTTTGTAATAATTAATGAGGGATACAAACTTAGCATTCTATGTGTTTTAAATTAACAAAATTATATGTATATATAACGATTCCGACGAAATAAGTCAAAATCCAAGACATGTTAATACCAGTATTTTAAAAGGCGTGGGCGTAAGGCGAGGCGTTTTACATATGCCTCAGCGAGGTGTAAGCCCCGAGACACGGGGCGTAAGCCCCATAGGTATTTAATTTTTAATATTTTATAAAATAATATAATTACAATAAATATTCATAAACACGTAAAATTGCATAAAAATTAAAGAAAACTATAAATATGTGAAAAATATATATATAGATGTGCTCCGTCCCCACAAAAAAACTAGTCAAAACAATCTATTATATGCTTCTTAGAAGCACAAGTAACTTGAGTCGAAAAGAATAAAGTTTTCTACGTGGAAGAACAGAAAGGATGACTAACCTACAATTTGAACTTTGAGCTAGCTGTTACGAAGGAGAATTGAATTCTTTTTGTATTTGTAAAAAAGAAATTGAATATTCGTTGCATTTGGGAGATATTAGCAGACTAGAGGACAAGATAAAAAATTAGAAAACATCATGAATTAGGGATTCAATCAATAAAAAATGGTCTTGACTTTTTAATTTAATATATTTCAGATCCTTTTTAAAACTTTTGAGTAATTACCAAGCTGAATTTTGAGAATTTGGGTACTATATGAACGACTTATTAAATAAATTTTGTTTTAATTTGAAAAAGTCTTTTGGGCTTACGCCTCACTAAAAAAACGCGCCTCAAACGCCCGGACGTACGCCTCGAATTGCTGGGCATTTTTGATACGCCTCGCCCCAGGGCTCGCCACGAAAACGCTTTTTAAAACACTTGTTAATACTAATTTCTTTCGGGTAATGTGATTTTTATTTTGGTTCGACGATCAAATTATTAAAGTTTGTTTCGAGTTATCATCACACTTGCAAAACCTCCTGCTAGAGTGATCTAAGTGACTCTCGTTAACCACTTTTAGGTACACAAATTTCAGTAGGCTATCAACTATTGAACATGGCTATAATAACATGAAAAGGAAGAGAAAATAAAAGAAATAACTTAACTTAACAAGAGACACCCATGACTAAATGGTTTGGGTTAAAATGGACCTTGTCATACAAAACACGCAATTTTGACTGGACATGTCATCCTCAATTAAATTTGCTCTGTGACAAATTTGGGCCTAAGCAAAAGCCCAATCTACAACTTGCTTTAATGGTAGAAATGACACCAAGTAAAAACTTTAAAGGGTTGCTATTTAAAAATTAGTCAGTTTATCTTTAATTTCAGTTTTTTAGTTTATTTTTTCGGACAAATTAAGTATTGGCTAATCACTAAATCGCATCCATGAGAATAGCTATATGTGCACTTGCCTCGCTTTAACATATGAAAAAAAAATGAAAAAAAAAAACATGCTTTAATGTTGTTGAAAAACTGGTTTTCTTATGCTACGTGAAAGCATCTTAGAGAGTTAAGAGTAATAACTATATTGAGTTGAATAACCTTGGGAATATTATACCTTGGTAATGGAAACGAATATTTAACAGTTAATAGTTTGATAAGATCATAATGCATAACAATTTTTAGTACTGAGTTTTATCATATTGTTAAATAACTATTTTCTAAAGCATATGACTGTTATCAAACTGTATTAACTACAAAATTATGAAACAGTAAATTTTATGTAACAAAAAACAGAAATAGAAAATCAGAGTAAAGCAGAATCTTGAAATAGTCAAAACAGAATCTAAAAAATAAATTTCGTAATGAAATCGAGTCCACTGAATGTTTCCTTAAGGAAATTATTTTCCTCAAGTATACGAGGTGTTAGAATATTATCATCCCAGGATAGTACGATTTAACTCACCAGAGTAGCGGTACCTAAAATGCTGGTGAACTGCGAACTACTAAATGATTGTAAATCACACTAGAATTTATTTGTGGAGAAGAAGAAAAAGTTCAGAAAATTTCGTAAGGAAAAAATCTAGGATCAAAGCGAATTTATAGCTATTTTCTGGTACTGTTTCTAAATATTTGCAACCTTTCGGAAACAGCCATGACTATTGGAACAGTCACGCGCGCGGGTCCTGGGTTATTCCGGGTTGACTTTTCGATAATTAATTAAATAATTGAAAGAAATTTTATTCAAAAAGATTAATAAGTCAATTAATCTTTGATCTTTGACCGAAGTCAAGCGACGACGACGGCGCGAGGCTTACCTTTTTTTCAACCCATTTACCACCAAAAAAAGTGCTTTCTTAATATAAGTACATTCCTTTTTCTTTTCACTACCAATGAGAGACACTTGCTCTATCCAAAGCATAAGGGAACAATTCACTTTCCCTTCACATTTCTTCCTTCCATTTCCTATTCACCAACTTCTAATCCCAACAATCCCCCACATGATGGGGAATGGCTATAAGACAAAGGAATGGGCGGACGAGTGTGTGATTTACAAGCAATGATTAATTGCATCTGGTTAAGTAGGGTTTTTTTTGAACTTTTCGAAGTGAACTTATATCGGATGTACTCGGTCAATCGGTAGATTCGATATCTTTGAATCGCCGAGCTTTGTTGTATACCTAGACAATATAGGTCACACAATCAACCCTTAACCATTTATGGTTCTCACTATTGTGTTCTTTTCAGCCATGAATACCGCTTGGTTTCATGAGTGCTTAGGGAATGGGCCTTTACTTTCATTCCCCTTGAAGCGGCTTACACTTCACACCCACATAGGTGATTTCTAAATGTGTAGTACTAAATACACACTGTCTGGTCATTTCATACTAGATTTAGCAAATCATTAAAAAGATTTAAGCTTTATTGACTCATCAAAAAGCCTTAACGCTTTACTTTGATTTATGAACATTGTCTTCATCATGAG